TGTGGTCATGCTTGTTGTTGTTGGTTCCAACGCTCATCTGCCATCGCAGATATCAATATACCTGCGTGTTTCTTCATACATCTGAGGGTCCAGCAACTCCTTCATACTCTCCCTGTCTCGGCATCCTCTTGTAGGTGCCAAAGTCATTTATGGTCCCCGCCAGAGTGTCCTGTGCTGGATGATTGCACTGTAATCTAAGCCTTTGAGTTTAAGAGCAGATGGTGGATTTGTTGTTGATCTCGATAACATTGATTTTGTATTCCGTTAACCACTGTGTTTAATTTAGCTATTTACTGTAGACATAAATGACAATGCAAAGACAAAACAAAAATTGTCCAACTGGCAAGAACAAGCATTAGTGATAGCATTAGCTGGACATCTTCATTCCAGCCATGATCACAAATTTGCCCACAAGCTTCATGAGGGAATGATGTGGTAATTGTGAATTTGTAGTGTTGAATCCCCTCCTGTGTGTCACACTGATATATTTTTTTAATGCTGTCATAGTGATCTGGCTCTGAGGAACTGCTACCTAACTGCAGATCTTACCGTCAAAGTGGGAGATTATGGAGTCGGACCTTACAGATACAAAGTAAGCTGAAATCCTGTTCAGTTTTAGATGTTTTCTGTCGATATATTTAGTTAATATCATTATTTACGGATCTGTATATTCTTGTCACACTAGGACCTATTTTCAAAAAATACATTAGGTCGATTGCTTAAGGCCAGTGATTTTGCTCTTATATATGCATGTTCCACTCAGACATTTTAGGCCTCTGATATATAAAATGAAAAGACACAACATTTTGTGTCAAGTTTTGTGTTTGTTTTGCCATTTGAAGTCCTTGTAGTGTTAACAGCACCATCTGGAGTCCTTTAGTGGAGCAAGAGACATTTTTTTTTATTGTTAAACAGAAAATGTTTCCACAATATATTTTCAGTGTATTCTACAAGGTTACAGTTTTTAAAGTTAAGTAAATTTAAAATATTATTATTAATAATATCATTATTTTAAATACTGTTACTATAGGAGGATTACATCATCACAGAGGATGATGTGTTTGCTCCCCTTCGTTGGTTGGCTCCTGAGCTGGTGGGTGAGCGTCATGGGAGTGTGATTACTATGGATCAGACCAAACCCAGCAATGTGTGGTAGGTACAAGACTGCAGCTCAATACTGACGGTACACAACATTTTTTTTTACAAATGTTGAGAAAAAGTTTATTTTAAAATGAAACTTTTAAAAGAAAACAAAAGACTGAAGTCAACATCACTATTTAGAGATTTAAAATCAATTATGATTTACACTGCCTAGTTGATTATTGTTAAGTATAATAGAAATTCCAGTTGGAGTCATGTCCTATAAATAGGAATTACATGTGCAGACTGAAATCATGTACATTGTTCTGTAATATACCTCTAGGTCATTGCTGAGAAAACAAACCCTTTCTGCTAATACCAGAGCTAGTAAATCCCAAACTGGCTGATGTCCAAAAGAGGGGAAAAAGATACTGACAGTGTACCAGCTAAACATCTGTCCACATTGTTTTCTCAGCCCCTCCCTGACTTCACATCTCAGGAAATGACTGTTTCCTTTCCTTTGGATATTCATAATAACTTACCTGACAAAGTTCATAGTTTTGGGTTAAGAGGTTAAGGTCACTTGCTCTGCTTGGAATGCTCAAGATAGCTCTTGTCCTGCAGTAAATTCCAGCAGTGATTTTATTCTCACTTGTTTATAGGGCCCTGGGGGTCACATTGTGGGAGCTCTTTGAGAATTCTGATCAGCCCTATCCACATCTGTCTGACCGGGAGGTGCTGAATCATGTGATCAAGGAGCAACAAGTCAAACTATTTAAGCCACAGCTAGAACTTCCTTATTCTGACAGATGGTGAGTCTTTCAAACATGCACAGTATATTAGAAAAAATTCTATAAACAGAACTCCCGATATGTAGATATTTTTGATTAAATTTGGTTTTGTGTGCTCTGAGTTACTTGACCATTAAAAACACATCTTGTGTGTTTTCCTCTTAAATGCAGGTATGAGGTCCTGCAGTTCTGCTGGCTGTCCCCAGACAAGCGGGCCACAGCAGAGGAAGTGCACCGTTTGCTTACCTACCTGCGCATGCAGGGCCAGAAGGACATAGAAGAAGATTTTGAACAACGCTGGGATGCTCTCAAGCCCAACCCATCCGCTCGGCAGACCACTGTTAGCCACTCTTCTTTCCCAATCTTGGAACAGTTTGCTGATGATGCCCTGCGGCAAGAGATTGATGAAATTCTTACTGTCACTGAAACTAGCAAAGGTCTCAGTTTTGAGTATGTTTGGGAAGCAGCTAAGCATGATCACTATGATGGCAGCCATGGTCGCTCAGGCATGGACACAATGTTGAACTACCACAGCATGTTCTTTCCTGTTTCCAGTGAAGATATCCAGGCACATTTCCCTGATCCTGTAGCCAGAGCAGTGGGCACAGTAGGTGCAAACACTCCATCAGGAATACCTGGCATTGTATCAGTCTTGGATTCACAAAAGCCATCTAATGAAAATGAATATTACATACAACTCGAAGAACAAGGGGGGCACACTCTTCCAGGAGATGGAAATAGAGGACAAGACGTGGACTTTAATTCAGGTCGACAAGACTTTGTTGTTCTCCAGGATGTCCATCTTGATGAGTCTAGCACAGATGCCGATTTTTTCCACCAAAGCATTGACTCCAAGGATTCCTATTTACCAGACAGTCACATTTGGTCATCTCTTGAAAATGACAGCCCATACCACACCAACATTTTCACAGAGGGAGGGGCCAAGCAAGAGGACTCACCTTCCTGGAGACAGAGTTTTATGGAGATTCCAGAGCCCAATGGGAACCCTTTCCATGGTGGTGCACCTTTAGAAGTTCAGGAGGCAAATAAAAATAAAAACTACAGTGATTCTTTTTTAGGGGATTGTTCAGAAGCCACTCTCCTGTTGAGTCCTGTGCAAGTGGAGAGGGATAATACAGATGTGATGAGGCTTCTGAGCACTGAAAAATTAGCTGACAACTTTCTCAAAGAACAGAACCTGATGAAAGATGGATCTGGTTTCTCTAGTCTACAGCAAAATTTTCTTTCACCTGGCATAGTCCATGAACCAGAAGAATCATTCAGAATGAGTTCTTGGGACAACCTGGGGACTTTAGGCAGCTTAAACACAGCAGACACTTGCGTGGAACCTGCAGAAAGTAGCACATCCTTAAGACAAGAAATTCTAGACTCTCCAAGTACCAGTTTGGAGGAGTTCTGTCAGTCTCTGGTAGAAAATGAAACACTGGTGCCTTCCATTACAGTGGTAACAGAAGATAACACAAGCAACCAGCTGCCATTTGGAAATAGTTCTTCCACTGAAGACCTTGATCTGCCGCAATCCTCAGACAGAGTTACAGACTCTGGTTTTGATTCTACCTCGGAGAGGTTAGAGGTTATCATTAGTCAAACTGATGACCACAACCCTACATTCCCTAAAAGTGCCACTACAGACTCATTGTGCTCCGATGCCAAAATTCCCAGCCTCGTAGATGACCATGGAGCCTCGAAGGATGGTGCTCAGCCCATAGGAAGTAAAAAGCATGAAAACGTCCAAAACAACAAACATAGTGAAGACCTAACAAGTAGTGACCTGTTGAGTGACCTTATTGAGAATGCAGATATAGAACTGGAAACCACTCTATCTGACCAGGAAGAATCCTTTATGGATACTAATGGGGGTCCTCTTGTGAGATCTTCTCTGTTGGTTTCTGGGCCATCTTTGGACCAGATCAGCCAGGACAGCTTACTGGACGACAGTATGTCCACTACTCTACCAACTGCAGATCAATCAGCTGAGACACCGGACTCTTTAGACTCCCTTGACATCCACAGACTTGGGGAACAGGTAGAAGAGCTGAATGCTCCAACAGCTCAACACAAACTCCAGCCTCCTTACAAAATATCAGACAGTGGGTATGAGACCGAGAACCTAGAATCTCCTGAGTGGAATTTTCAGCCTAATGTTACAGACCACTCTCTTGAAAAAAATGGCATCAGTGTTGCCAAAGAAGATGAAGACACAGAAGAGCTTACAGCTGCAACAAATCTGATTCCCCCAGAGATCATCATTTCTGAAGTGGAGGGTGTACGGGACACTCGCACTGAGGATCCTTTTGAAGGCCAGCAGCTGGATTATGTAGCTCCTCCAGAGGAGCCAATCTTGGGCAGTAATTACAGAGACTCTGCCTACTTCTCAGACAATGAATCAGAACCTGAGAAGAAGTCTGAAGAAATGATTGCAGAAGGTTCTGCTGAAGTCACGCTGATGAGGACCTCTCCTGATGAGGTTGGTGGGTCTTCTGGGGGTCTGGCAATGGAAGTTCATGACAAGAGAGATGTAGATTCTATATTTACTCAGCATGAGTTGTCTTTAGCTTCTGAAGCACTGGCACCTGATGCTCATGTTGGGGGTATATTACCAGAAGCAGATTCAGATATCACAGAAAAATGTGAGAGGGAGGTCACCAATAGCCATAATGAGGATGGAAACAAATGGGAGGTTTTCAAGGATGTGACATCTCCTGGTCAGCCAGAGCCATCAGAAGATCCTAAAACCTCGACTCCACTTCCTTCTACTTCTCCATCAAAGGCGGCACCAGAGACTGCAGTTCATGCTAAACTAACCAGGACCTACGCTAGTGATGGGCATAAAATAAAAGAGCCCGATATGGAGGGACGTTACTTGGGGAAGCGGGATGGTTTGAGTTTAGATGGACAGGAGGATGGTGTGGATGCAGACGAGGAGGATGAGAACAGTGACTCTGATGAGGACATTCGTACATATCATCTACATGGCTCCAGCTCAGAAAGCGATGACGATGCAGTGCATACAGTGCCGCTTATTGTCTCGGATGACAGTAGCGCAAAGAACCTGAAGAGCTTGTTGAAACCCACCACCCTGAAAGTCGAGGCATCATCTTCCCCGCTTCCAACGAGATCTAATGCAGATAACTCCAGAAGAGCTGTGTCATTCTTTGATGATGTCACTGTCTACCTGTTTGACCAGGTAATGTATTGTCTCTTTAGGGTTAATTTTGTATTTGTAACTATTAACACTATGTTTGTGGCCTTTCTCATTAAATTTCAATGCATTCTGTTTTAGGAGACTCCTACCAAGGAACTGAGTGACCACTCCTCAGGCTCAGACAGTCAAGTAGCCGAGTTCATCAGCCCAGTTCCCACTGCCAGCTACCTGAACCGGTTCATCAACTCTGAAAGCTCCACAGATGAAGAAGGTAACACCTACACCTACCAAGTGTATGCAGCTGCTGGAAATAGTTTTTTCCATTACATGTCCTGATTCATTCATTGAATCCCTACAGGTGGTGGTTTTGAGTGGGATGATGACTTCTCCTCCTCTGTACCTGCCTTCCTGCCCAAGACACAGGAAGACCCAGTATCCAAGGCTATGCCATCATCCGTAGCATCTCGCTTTTCCTCTCCTCCCCCAGTAGCAGTGCGCATGCTGGAGCCCAGCTGGACCAGCTCCTCAAACTACTCCCGTTTTTCCATCTCACCCACCAGCATCGCTAGCTTCTCCCTTACGCATCTCACTGACTCAGACATCGAACAAGGAGGCAAGTTGAACATACAGTCATAACAAACCTGTATGGGGTTTTTAAAGAAACAGCTTCACACTTCTGTTAAACACACGTCTGCTTTCTTGGACTTAGACAAGAAGATCAATACCACTCTCACATGTACATGAGAAATATGAAGCTAAAGCATAAAAAGTGGAGTAGGGGGGTGGGAAACGACAGTGGAGTCATGGGTTGCATGAAGAGGGCATCAGTCTGTGTTCTCTCTCCTTCATGGATAACTTCACATAGCAGATAAAAATAAGTGTTTTAAGCCGGTAGTGAAACTTAAAACTAGCTAGCTAGCTAGCCCTGATGGGGTAGCTACTTCACAAGGCTGACAGTTAAAGTCAGTATGTTAATGTTAAAAATAGCAATCTGTGCTCCTGTTGGTGAGCATCAGCCCACCTCGTCGTAGATGATAAATACATTTCTGATATGCTAGACTTTGTGTCAAGACATTTACTTTGACACAATATATGAGATAAAAGGATCGATTGTCTCGTCCGATGCCATTTGTTGGTCTCAACACCCTACGACCATCGTCGTAGGGTGTTGAGACTAGAGGTTTACTGCATCTTACAGTGAAATTGCGTGGCGCATAACCCCTTCTAAAACCATAACATGTTATGTTTAAGGTTCAGTTAAGTAACAGAAGAATGAAAATGTTATTTAGAGAGCTACTGATGGGTGGATTCTGTTACTTTTGGACAGAGCCAGACTTTAAGATAACTTAATGAATAAACAACCAAATTTGCTGACAAGAAAGTAAATAAACTGTTCTCAAAATGTACAATTATTCTTTGGAGTCTTAATATTATCATATGCATTTCTTGGTCCAAATATTATCAGATTGTACCATTTAGATCTTAAAATTATGAAATATTATGTCACATTTAAACTTTTGTTTCCCTCTTTTTGTCCACCCCAGGAAGCAGTGAAGATGGAGAAAAAGACTAGTTGGAAAAATGAAGGGACCGCCTGTCATCACACTGTTGAGAAATGAACCTGTATCGCACTTTTTGGGAATGGGGAACGGCTGAATAAAAACAGATGATGCAGTTTGTGGGGCAAACTGTGGATGTTTCTCTCAGGCAGAACTGTTCTTCATGGAGTTGGCCATGAAAACTATAAAGTGGCGTTCGGCAAATAAGACAGACAAGACCCAGACCCTGTCTGAGCCACATCACCTCTCCAGCGATGTTGGTGTGTGGTTTCTGTTCAGTGCAATTCCACATTGAAAAAAGAAAACAACTAAAACCAGTCCTAGCTTCTAATTATTTGCTTTAAAGACTCATCAAGCGCATTCCAAGTGTGTGGCTGCTTCTCCATGTTCTTTAAGTGCACTCCTTTCCCAGGACTTATGCATCACCAAAAAAAAAAAAAAGAAGACATTTTGAATTAATGAATCAAGAACACTAGGCCGGTAAATTCATCACTACAGCCAAATAGGAATAAGCTCTTTGATTTCAGCACACCTATAACTGAAGAGATAAGCTTTTTCTATAGCATTGTTTGTTTTGCTCCTACATGTTGTGTGATTATTTCAGTGATTGCCTTTTTTCGAAGAGTGATTTGTTTTGCGTAACCTCCTGTTGGGTTTAGTCACAATCTCCTAGTTGGAGAGAACCTGTGCGGTATTCTTCTGTAGCAGCATTTATAAAGAAGAGTTGAAACTTTGGAAGCTCCATCCATCCATTGGAAAGCTATCAGTCCCTTATCTGGAGAGGTGACGCACTGTATGTTTCTTTATTTATATTTTGAAGGAAACATTCAAAGGAAGTAGTTTCATATTTTTGAGACATCTTGGTAATAATTGTGGGTGTTATTAGATGAGGATTGTCATATGAATCCTTGGGGGGGAGGGGATTTTGTAATTCTCCGTTTTATGCTCTGAAATGTGCAACAAGTTGATTGATCAGTTGTCTCAGCTGCTTGTCACAGAGTCTTATTGCAGTGCCAGATGATGTAAAAGACAGCGGCACTTCATTTATTATCACTACAAAATTTCAAATCACACGTTTTAGTGAGATTGTGTAGAAAGTGGAGATTTTATTTTTAAATGTCAGAATGAAGGACTGTATTGAGGTGGTTGTAAACAAATGTGCAATGAATTTCATTAATTGATGAACTGACTTAATAGGATGACTTGGTTAATGTGGCAGTGTCTTTGATAATGTGCAGGGACTTGAGCTTCACACACACAAAAAAAAATCAAGAATGAACAAAAACCTTTTTGCTGCTTTTATCAACTTGTTATTTGCCGTTTTTTACTTTGTGTCAAACTTAATTATCGTGTTCAGATGACATTTTCTTCCCAAAGGACCCCTTGTCAAGCTGCAATTTTGAGCATTGCATCACTGTATCTTGTTATTTGCAGGCAATACAACAACTCTGTGGCTGTACAGGTTTGGTCAGGGATGTGTGTGCATCATGATCAGTTTCTGTATAGAGGAATAATGAAAATGGTTATGGAACAAGATATGCTCTGCCCCTCCACATTTTTTTTATGCACAGCTATAAAATCGGTTATTTGAAACTGTAGGTTATGAAGTTGCTGTATGGTTCTTTCCTTTTAATGACTCGGACACCTTTCAAGGTTTTGTCGCTGGTGGCTTGATGAACAGCTACGCTTCACGTGTAGTAGCGAATACCCATCTCCTCCCCCCCATACAGAAGGAACTGCATCTTAGACCATGTTAACCTCTGTTAAAAACCAGCAGCCTGTGCTTCAGTTAAACTTGAACATTTATTTAAGGACATCTCATTTTATTTGATTACAGTATACATTTGCTTAATCTTGCACATTTGAGAAATCTAAGTTAATGTTGGACTGTACTGATGTGTATATACATGTTCATTTTTTTTGTCTGTAAATGGGTATTGATATAACTGACCTATAGGTATGAGGTTTCATTTTGTAACTTAAAGCTGAGTTGATCAGAGGACAATATCACAGTCACCGGCTAAAAAAAAAAACACAGTTAAGACGAAAGCAGAAGTGGATTCATTCTGTCCTTTAAACTTACAGATTTTAAAAATATTTTTACTTCATATTGATCATGCTTAGTGTCATTGAATGAAATGTTTATAATTACACAGTTTAATATGAAAATAAATGCAAAACAACTTGTAATTAGGGTTCATATCTTCTCTTACTTTGTGCTGAAGGTTAACTGTACATACTAAGGACATATGTAAGGGTCTGATGTCTTACCAGTGAGGCAGAAGTTGAAGATAGGCCTCGGCAGACCAGCACCTAGGACATGGAACGTAGCCACTTGTAAAGTTGTGGGAAGCAGCCGGAGCTTGTGTAGTTTGGCTGTAGGGGCAATTGTCTCCATTGTTCTGAAGCTCCACAGAGTGAGAAGCACTGGACAGAGGTAGGGGGTGCTCACAGGGCCTGGGCTGGAGAGTTAAGGGTCGCCACTGTGTGACTGTCATGGAGAGGAAGGCTCTCAACGCTGATACACTGGTTTTACTGTCTTACAGCACAAAGAGTCACAAACAGTCCTATAATCAGTTCACAGGGCACTGGCAACACTGTGCATCAAGGCCTGTTCAATGAACAAACACTGCTCAGTGGCAGGTCAGGTTTGTGCTATTTCAAGAACATTAGCAAGACGTACAATATTTTTAGACTTTTATTTCACATTTCAATGCCCTTGTACAACGAATGTCCAGTCACGGTGACATTCAGACCTGCTGTGCAGTTTCAACAGTCAGTCAGTCAGCAGTTAACGTGGATAATTATAATAACTGGAAGAACTTATTGCAGGAAGATAGAGAGGTATTACCTGGTGATGTGGATTAATCTTTTATGTTTTTCAATGCAGTCAACTGTTATTAAAGACCAGTATATTTTCCTACAGTATGAATATCTCAAATTTTGCCAGTTTTTTTTTTTTGAAAAAGCCCATCAATATTAGGAAGGCTTGTCATAGCAATATGGGCCAAAAACACTCCATTGCAAACGTACAGTATAACAGGCCAAAACCTGTAGAGAAAGGAAAATGCATAATAAATAACTGAAATCACATGCAAATGAATTACAGGCAAATCAGACACAAAAACAAAACAAGATTCAAGAAACCAACACGATTTAGACTACAGTGAGACTGTGTGTTTGAAGAGATGTTAGTTTGGTACCCAAGCCTTAGCCCTTAATCAAAGTCCCACCCTGTTAGGTTTTCACAGAATATTGAATACAAGAATAAAAGCTATTGCTAGATCCCAGAACACCCAGTAGCCAAATCCAAATAAGAGCAAACACATGCATTTTCATCCCACAAGACGTGAACATCCATCCTGCTTAAATGCTCTTGTGCTTCCTTTTCTCTCTCACCATCAGTGCACACTGACATGATTTCTTACAGGAGGCGAATTTTCCCTCACTTGCATGTTTTCCTTGTGTCTTAGGCCAGCCCATGTTAAGATGCAAGGAGAAACTGCAAGGAGAGTTGAACCAGGAAACATGTTTTAACTGACATGACAAATCCTTCATGTGACTCATCCAGTCAAACTGATTTCTGATAAAGAGGTGCGTCAGTTCACAAAACATCTGTGAAGGATGGTCTCATGTATCCTCGGTCATGGCCCCTCCAGCACCGTCCTCACTTCTCGGTCCTCAGAGCTGATGTAAGAGACTTGGAACATCCTACATCCTAGGTCGACCAGAACAACTTCCGGGTCGACCAAGGATGTAGGAATGTTCTTATAAGAGACAAGACAATGTACCCAAACTGCGAGGAGCAAGGAATGAGGAAACACATTTTAACCATTGGGTTTTAACTGACGTGAGACGTCCTTTCCTCTGATTTCTGATAAAGGGGTGTGTCAATCTGTAACAGACTTTCACAAAGGATGCACTCATGTATCCTCAGTTATAACTCCTCCATCGGCCTCCTGGCTCCTCAGAGGAGAAATAAGAGCTTTGGGATTTCTCTCATCATAGCAGACCAGAACAACTTCCAGGTTGAGTGAGGACTGATAAAATAAGGGACGCAAGATAGAAACTCAGGGGGGTGATTGTGCATTCCCTTTACATGAAGGGATAAGAGCCAATGGGAAAGAACGAAGGAGACAAATATAGATCCAGGCACAAACGGGTGGGGAGGAGAAGATGAGTGGGCGCTACACCCCTACAGCACTCCCGTTCACCTGTGTTGGAGGCCGCGGTGGGAGCGGGCTGCGTGGGGGTCCAGCAGGTGGAGCATGGGGGGCACGAGGAGCCTCAGCTGAGTTCCCCCTCACACTGACATGCTCCCATCCTCCCTGACAGTCACAAACATAGAAATGATGATTTTCATACTTGAAGATACCTATTAAACACATCTTCAGACATTCACAACCCTTTTGATATATAACATAAGCACTATATAAACTTTGACAGATGAACACACTAATGTAGTTGTATGCATAAGACATTTTAATGAATCCTGGCTGTTTTAGGAAATTAAAACTATGTATGTGTGGGTCAGTTTTTAAAAATGTGCATCCGTGGGTTCAGTAGGAACAGACGGACAACACATAACTGTGTTAAAATAAGAAAAAGCACAGACCAAGGCAGGTTTAATGATGATGGACTCACCCCTATACCATAGTCCCAGGATTGGCCCTTGGGTTGCATGGGTCCCACCCCCAGCCTGTGGCAGACAGCTCCAGGAGTCTCAGCGGGGAAGCCAGGAACCCGTTCTGCTATGATCCATACCTGCAGAGGACAAGAGCAATGAGCCACACACAAACAGCCATTCATGGTTTTTTCTAATAAGATATAGTTCACAGTCAGATCCTGCAAGATTTTCAGCCAAATCCTGAGGTTATGTTTCTAATTGCTTTGATAAATACTGTCTTTACAAATAACCAAACTCATTGCCTGGACTCTTTCTGTCTGCTCCAGGGTACAGTGCAGGAGGGTGCAGCACTGACCTGGTCCTGTGGACCCACAGAAACCTTGGTGACGTTGTTAGAGATGAGCTCCCAGGCGGAGCCCTGAGGGTAGCTGGGTGTGAGGCCCTGTCTGTACCACAGGTTACCTGCATGACAAGAAAGGACTCTATTGTCAGTCAACTCAGGCTTAAAAGGGCTTAAAACAGACTACTTACTGTTTTCATCTACAGCAAAGACAGAGGTCCGACCCACAGACAGTTGTCTGAGGGTCTGCCTTGAAGGAGAAGGGATGTGGTACCAGCATTCCCCTGTAGAAAGATAAGAGCTCTGAAAGTTCAATTTCATTTGGACCTTGAAGCTTTATTGACTTCTCATGCTGCACATATTTTGACAGTTTGTAATAATGACTGAGTGTCACATCCTCAGCTGACCTGCAGGGCTTTGTGGGGACACTGATCCTCTGTAGAACACGGCTCCATCCTTGGCAATGGCCCACACCTGATTGGCTCCACCGATGGAGATGGACTTAAAGGGCTGGTCTGTGCCTATATGAAGCCAGGAGCTGCCCTGTGAGATCAAACACACTGGAGTTAAAGTTAGAAACCTAGAATCTGCAGGAATTACACTGAAAATTCAGGAATCTAAGGACTATACTGTAGATCTAGAAAACCTTTTCAACGTTCTCAATTCCTCTTGGATGACATCTAAAAGTTCCTCACCGCAGGGTTCTGGGGGCTGACTCCCAGCCGACACAGGACCTCTCCCTTGTCACTGAGGGCCCAGACAGGTACCTGCTCCATCCTGCTTTGAGCCAGACACGGCATCAGAGTGACGTCACTCAGTGGGATGGGTGGGACCTGCTGCCATGGACCTCTCAATGTGATCTTACACTTCCTGTATGGAGAACATGATCCTTTTGATATTGTAGAAAACTGAATTACAAACCACAGAAATGTGTGATTTGTTACCTTGTCCATCTTCTGCGCCTTACAAAGTCTTTCATGGTTTTGTGGCCATGAAATGTGCTGTAGGAGAGAGATAAATCAGATGAATGTCACTCCTCTTTCCGGCAGATTTTGTTGTGACAGCATCCAGAGCAGATGTTGTTACATACACAGGGAAGTCTGCAGCGTACTGCCAGCCTTCTTTATCTGTTCCTCCAGGGACGTTGTAGTCCACAGCCCACTCTGACACCTGTAACACAGGTTGAATTAGCTGGTGATGAAACAAGAACTGAAATACATCTGCAGGAGGAATTCTGAATCAGCCCCACCTACCCAGGACCACTGAGGGGATGGTGGATGTGTGTTGCCTTTGGTGCATTCCTTCAGTCCACTCTCATCACTCCACATAGGGCGATCTGTGGGAAGTCCTCTGGAGAAGAAAGGTTTGGGAGTAGTCAGAGACAGACTGGTCAGCAGCTCTTAACTGACAAAGATCAAGATAAACTGCAAAGACTTTATTAAACCGTGTCAAAGTTGAAATGTTCCTACTTGTCTGTATATCCTGTCATAGGGTTCCATCTTTGATTCTCATACACATGTATACTCCTGACATCAGTCTGCTGGTGCATCTGAACGCCGTCTCCTGCAGTAAACACCAACATGGACAACAAATTTAATACAGGCAAATAAGTGGCTATACATTTGTGTGTGTATATGTCTCTACAGCTGCAGCATCTGTCTCGAACCATGCTGAAGCAACTGCACACCAAGCTACAAGCTGTTAGCATGAAGGTAGTGCGCCGATTATCTCTTATGTGTTTTCAAATAAATTACTGAAATTAAAGGTGACATAAATTAGACATTTGTAGTAAATTCCTCTCCATGTAATGGTTTCATTACAGAGTATCATACCACTTGTAGATTATGGACTGGATATTTAGCTTACAAGACAAATTCCCATCTCACATCGCTAGATCTTAAAAATTCTGTGTTTAAGAGCATTAGGGCTTGAGAAATTGTACAACTTTTAGCAATTATTAAAACTGGCATCCATTATTTTAATCATTGTTACAACACTAGTAATAAATACATGACAAACTGAGAAACAAAAACAGACAGATATCAGAATTCTTTTTCAGGCTGTGGGAAGCACATGGGTAGATGTCTACAGGGGCATGTTTACCCAGAGTGGGCTGTTGCTCATAGTGCCCATAGACCCAGGCGGTGCCGTCCCACCCGATGCCCCACACCAGCCCCAGACTGTTAGACTCTACACAGCGCAGGTGTCCCGGAACCTGTCGCCAGAACCTGCAGCACCATACAGCGGAAGCACCCAGCATTAGCCACATCATTATTAACCCGTGGAGGATAAAACAGCACAAATAATTCTCAGTTTCACCAGGCAGGGCAGTAGGTTAGCATGTTAGTGACACATTAGCAGACATGTAGCAGAATTAACAAAGTGGGAATAAAGGAAGCTGATGGGAAACCAGAGCAAGACTACGAGAAAGAGAATGAAAAGAAATATAACACTGACAGACAGTCTAATCCTTGGTATCATTCTCACATGAGGTCAGAGGCCAATGTGTTTGCAGAAGCCTCTAAGGTGAAGGACGGCTCATGGACCATGATGTCTCCCTTTGAGGTGGTGGACCACAGAGCCTGTCTGGACGGGGAGCCTGTGATGCCTTGACACTCACAGCAACAGTCAGACAACAGACACAGCTGGTCACAGAAAGACCAAGAAACAACATGGAATGTAATCATCAGTGGGATTTAGCTAAAAAAAAAAAAAACTATCAATGAAAAGTAAACAATTCTCCCCAACACACAATGCTCTGCATCCACTTTAGTGATGCTGCATGTTTTTTTTTACTTGAAAATAGTTCTTTTGAGTGTTACAGTGCAATTGTTACCCAGTCGTTCATGTCCTTGTCAGTTTGTGCTGCCAGGACCAGAGGCCACCTCTGCTTGGTCCTTTGGGCTGTGTATACAGCAAAGACATAGTGGCAGTCCCTGAGCACTGGAACCAGTGCTGTCACTTCATTAATGAACACATGAAGATACTGAAACAAAGAGACAGGGAATGAGGATGAGGAGGATGAACAAAAGGGAACTGGGAGTCAACAATTACTATAGTCATAATAAAATAAAGCCTTAACTTCACAGCAAAACCAACCTTTTTCTCATCATACTGTGTGTAGTAGACAAAGAAAATACTGTCTTTCGCACCATCAGACCCGGTGGACTGCTCAAGAGCAACACCCACATCCACCCAGCGCTGAGGCTTCCAGTCTCTCCACCAGCGCAGCGTTCCTTTACGCACCCACACTGACTGGACAGAGAAACAGGAAGATGGGACCACATATGGACGCAGAGACATGGAAAATGTGAGCAAAGATACAATTTGAGACTGAAAACACTGTTTAAGAGAAGTGTCAAATAAAAGAAAAAAAAAACAGCCTTACGTTGCTTCTCTCCAACGGTTTCTTGCTGATCTCTCTGTGTTCCTGCTGCTGCTGCTTGCTCCAGGCTGCTGACTGGACTGGAGTCAGCGACAGAGAGCTGGTGAGAGGACCTGACAGACAGACAGACAAGTCAAACATTTAGAGACAGACAAATGACCACAGAGACGACACACACAATATATCTATACATGTGCAACATATGAAACACAAACAGACGCACAGTGTAAAACATTCAAATAACATCTATAAACTGACATTCAACTTAATGTGACTCATTTTGTTGATTAAAAGAAAAATCACTGCTTGTTAATATACCTGTGGGACTAAGCCAGCTGATCTGTGAATTTGCGTCCACATCGCAGCCTCCGCCAGAGATCCCGGCCCACACTGGCCCGTCCTCTTCACCAACACCCTGAGAGGCTTCCAGTGTCCCCAGTGTGTAGGTGGCAGCAGCACCTTCATCGCCCAGTGAAGACGCTGCCACCTGTGCCCCCTCCAGATCTACGTTCATCCAGGGAACGTCATGTCCCCCAACCTCAGGCGTTGGGAGGATCAGAGCTGGGGACGGTTCCTCACCCTCCTCCTGTGGTATCTCTGTGATGGACGGCTGTGATGTGGAAGTTCTGTCGCGGTCTGAGACCAGGCTATTAATGAAGCTGTCACTGGTGGGGATGAAATGTTTGGGGGCATCCTGTTGGGAGGTAAAGGGAACGTCCTCCGTTTCCACGGGAGGTGTAGATGTGTCGCTTCCCCCTAATGGGACTACAGAAGAGGCTGCTGCCTCCAGGACTGGAGTGTTATTAGTGCTCTTTTGAGGGTCAGTAGGGCCTAACTCTGAGTCTGAGCCAGCGCAGCTCAGAACTGAGCCTTGTGAGGCTTCAGTCAGCTGACCACTAAACTCATCCCTATTAAACAACATGTGGACAGAGAAGAACAAAGAACAGGTGTATTTAACAAGAAAAAGCCCATTCAGCTACCTGTATAACACAGCTGTACCTCATGTGTCAATTAAGATTCAACTCTTTGATTTATACAGACCTGGGTGGAATAACCTTTTTATTATTGCCCCATTGGGCAGAAACAGGAATCCAGCCGTTCCCACTTGGTTCGGATGCAGTCACCCCCATTCTGAAATAAAGGCCATGGTCCTCACCCACTGCCCACACCTGACAGAAAGAGAGAGAAGATAATGTAGAGAAATGATGATGAAACACAGCGGTCACATGCCCACACTCCTACTGTAACATGTCATATTTATTTATTGAAGCATAAAATAAGTAAGAAATCCACTAAACTAATTATGGCAGAATCTTGATTATAAACATCCCATAAAATTGTTTATATGCAATCTTTAAAGAGACACTAGTAGGACACACGTAACTACTACTTTATAAGGCCATATACTGTAACGCTGGTGCCTGCCACCTCACACAAGCCATATCCATAAATGCAGCCCAAAATATGAAATATGGAATATGATGATGATGACGGCTTGGCTGGCTTCTAATTAGGGAGTCTCCCGTATGTCAGGTCTGGGGATATATAAGGCTGGGCCTGAGGTGCTACTGCCGGGACATTGGCTGGAACGTCTGGCT